CCCGATAATTTACTTTAAGTACTTGATTTAGCGTGGAGGCCTAAACATACCGGCCCCCTTGCTATAAGCAACGTTTCAAAGATGGTTCAGCCACCACACCTTACATTTACATTTATTTACATTGTAAATTATGTTCTTTAACTTTGTGAATTCCCGCTCAGATTGGTCCTTGCCCGGGGATCTAGTCCGCACGTTCTCCGGTCCTCCTTGCAATCTCTAGCTACGGGGAAAAATGGAAGAAAAAGCTAATAGGAAAAAAAGGTGTGGTTGATCATTTCATTGCACTTTTATTTAAATTCGGTATGTATTCATGAATACTAAATATAAAATTTTAACTATTTTGTCACATTTGGTGAGCTCCTGATATAATCAGCCCGAACATGGAAGCTTGCGCCAGTAAACCGCCGATCGTTGTTGGCGGAGTGCCACATACCATGACCTGGGCGTATACATCAGCGCCAAGTGTTAGTCGAGTGGGGGTGGCCCGATAGAACTGTGGATCCGCCAGACGCATAAATTGAAACGGCGTCGCTATCGTTGGGTCGATGTTAGCCGCAGGGCTGAGTCGGCTGTATCGCGTAACTAGCCTGGCCTGAGTAATTACTCGTTCCGCGACCCCGTACTTTCCTCGCAGCACGAGGGAACATGTTTTCGCGCGGGCGTTGCTGACTTCGAGCTGAAGCTCCCGTGCTAGGTCCCTGTCGATGGTACTGCTGGGGGCGCAAGAGTCAATCAACGCCCGCACCAGATGAAGTCGGCCGCCTGACTCGATTCGTACAATTGCGGTTGGGGCGATGGCTACGAATGAGCGCATTATTGGTGCTGGAACCGCGATTGTTTTTAACTTGCCTGTCCGGAATCCACCCGATGGAATGCGTTGGATGGTGAGGGAGGAACGGTCGCCACGTCGGTGTCGTGCGGCCCTTATTGCTTGCCAACGCGACGAGCGAAAAGGACGAGTTTCCGCGCCATCACGCTGGCTGCAATTACGCTTGCGCCAAAATGAGCGAAAAGGACGAGTTTCCGCGTCATCTCGGTGGCCAGAATTGGTTCCGCGCCGATATGAGCGAAAAGGACTAGTTTCCGCGTCATTTCGTTGACCGCCCGTTGGCTGTGTGTGTGTGAGCACTGCTGGCATGGGACTGTCTGCTTCAAGTTCGTGCTGTAGCGGCGGTCGAATCTTGCGGGTTTTCAAGCCGCCGTCTGGTGGTGAAGGGATTATCTCTTCCCGTCTTTCCACCTCTTCTGCCTCTACCTGCTTCGCCCATGACGTCGTTTGGTCGGAACCGTAGAGCGAAATCGCTCCGTCAGAGCCGTCGTCGTTATCGGGGTGATTTTCCGTCGTTTCCCTTGGATCGCCGTAGTCTTCCATATGCAGGGAGGTATGGTGCTTTTCGTCGCAGCGGTGGCATCGGTCATTGCTTCCACAGATTTCGATCCGATGGAATGGCGACAAACAGTTGGGACAGTACCGATGTATCAAGATCGCCCGCAACCTTTCCTCTGCGGATTTCCCTCGGTATATGGGGCAGAGTCGTACTCCGTGGTTGTTACCGCACAACCGACAAGGAATCTTAAAATGATCGACACGTTTTTCGGTCTTAGTGCGGGTGGCCGTGAAGCGAGGCATTCTGTAAAGTTAAACCCCCTTTTTATCGCCGTATGCACAATTATGGTTCATTGTGTATTTTAAAACCTTAGCTGGGTGGCAAGTTATACATATATACATACGCATATTTAATTGCTAATGATTTACATTTCTTATTACTACTTTTATTTTACTTTATTATGTTATTTTTATTTTTTATTTTTTGAGGACTAATTCCATGCCCTGCAGTGTATGGTGGCTGAATAATAATTCGCTTATATCGTACACTAGGTGAGAGAATGACTATAGTGTGTTTACCTTGGCCTCCCACCCGAAGAATAAACCGTTTCATTATTTGTTCGCATGGTGCGGGACTTTGCTGAATCGGTTCAACCGCTAGTGCTTATGAATGTGCTTGGTAGTATCACAACTTAATGATTTATTTTGATATTCCTAAGTTGGAGGGCACTTCAAAATTGATTAACTCATGATTTTATTAAAAGGAAATGCATATTTAATAAGCTTTGCTTTGTCCCGAGCAAATCTAAGGAGTTCGCCGGTATCGAGTTGCGTAGTAGATTTTCAGTTTACCGATCGTAGGGGAGTCCTAACCCTGGCTGCGCTGTCAACCAAGAGCGTAAATTGAACTTACGTTCTTACATTAGAGATGTGATGAGTCAACACATATGAGTACCTACTCATACCTACACGGTACCGATTTTAAAGATATCCGGGACTTTCGATATTCGGTGCCGAGCATATGTAACAAAAACAATTTAGAAGCAAAGCTCATCAGTTGCGTGGGGGCGCTATCGTACAAAGTCACATTAAAATAAGTGTATATATATGTATATATATATATATATATATATATATATATATATATTGTACAGGATTCTTTGTGAACCCGAATCCATAGCCCTTTTAGAGAGCGAAGAAATGACATAAATACAAAAATTAGTTTCAACAAAGTTTCAATAAAGTTATCGAGGTTTCGAAAACAACACTTAATGCGTTCTTTCAATGGGGATGAGCTCGAATTGAGGTTTTCCGAATAAAATACAACAATCATGCTTTTTATAAAATAAACTTTACTTTGCATATAGCAATTGAATTTTTTTTATTTTTTTTTTT